TGATATCTAGTTAATGCAAAGGCCAATCTAAATTTGTTACTAAGGAAAGAAGAATACTAATGGTGTTGAGCTTCGCAACAGAAGCAAAAGTTTCCTGATAGTCTATTCCATAAGACTAAGTGAATCCTTTTGCAACCAGTCTAGCTTTCAAACTCTCAACACAACCATCCTCCTTATACTTTACGGTGAACACCCATTTACATGTCACAACTTTCTTTCCCGGTTGGAGATTCATAAAAACCCATGTTTGATTTTTCTCCAAGGCCATAATTTCTTCTTTAACAGCTTGTCTCCATCCTGGGTGATTCAAAGCTTCCTAAATATTGGTCGGAATCTGCACATCATCCAACTTGGGAAGGAAAACTTGATAAGTATCTTATAATCTACTATAGGAGAGAGTTTTTGATTGGATGCTTGGTGTATGATTCTTTCTGACCATTTGATAACTCTATCTCATTTTGAACCTCCTTATTTTTATCATATATATGAATCTCTACAGTTGTTGGATCCATTGAAGGAGATTTGATAGGTGCAAGATGTGTCTCGTTGCTCTGCATATGCTGATTTTTCTTCCTTTTCCTTGAGTATACACATATTGTTGTTCCTTAATTGCTGCTCTTTGTAGGGATTGATTAAGACTTATGGGTGAAGGTAATAGGTCTAAAGGTGGAGATTAAGACATATGAGATATACCTTGAAAAATACTCGTGATTTAGATTTCTTGTGATATTTGTAGGTTTTGACTGGACTTAGTTTGGTTGTATAATATTGAGGAGAAGTGTCGGTGCATCATAGATAATAAGGAATTCCACTCCCAAGTTTGAAATTCTCCTTCTCTCCCCCCTGAATTTCAGAATTACTGGTATGGGTTGTTTTCAAAAAAGATGACATCCATGGTTTCAAATACCTTCGTATAAGTATGGGCAAAAGCATTTATAACCACTTTTTATTGGGGAATATCCAATAAAGACGCAATTTTTTTTATCTTGGGTCAGATATGAATAAAGGCAGAGCACCCAAAAACTTTAAGTGGAAGATTTGATGACATGAATCGAGCATGAGGATAGAGCTTTGAGTAGAGTTTATCTAGGTGTTTCAAATTTTAGTACCCGAGTAGGTAACTTATTTATAAGGTATGCAACAGCAAGAATGGCTTCCCCCCATAGATATTTTGATACTTTTGTGAATAGCATAATAGATCTAGCAAATTTTAGGAGTTGTCTATTTTTTCTCTCAACTACCCATTTTGTTGAGGCGTATACACACCTGAACTCACTTGGGTTAAACCTTGGCTTGATAGGTATTCTCTCATGATAGAATGAAAGTACTCCCTCGCATTGTTTGACTTTAAGATTTGAATTTTTGAATCAAATTGATTTTGAATCATCAATTGAAATGATTTGAAAATCCTTTCAACTTCAGATTTTTTAGTTCATTAAATAAGCCCAAGTAAGTCTAACATGATCATCAACAAATATCACAAACCACCTTGCACCACTTATATATTTAACCTTTGAGGGACCCCAAATATCACTATGGATAAAGGCAAAGAGTTTAGAATGTTGATAAGGAATAATTGGTTAAGATGATCTGATATGTTTAGCCAATTCGCAAGTTTCACATTTGAACAAACTTGAATTTTTATTAATAAATAAATGAAGAAAAAGCTTTTCAATATACATGAAATTTGGATGACCTAACCTATAATGCCACATGATAATCTCCCTATCTTGCTGACTCTAGAATGACTCTCAACAAACTGACATACAATAGGATGATTCTAGCAACAATTATAGATTTGAGTGCCTTGATGTAACATAACTCAAAACGCATCTCAGCATTACCAATCTTATGCTCTAAATCCAGTTCCTTAAAAATACATACATTATTGGAGAAAATTGTTAAGCAATTACTATCACGAGTCAATTTATTAAAGGAAATTAGATTGCACTCAAGATTGGGCACATAAAGCGCTGATATAAGTGTGATAGCTTCTGTGACAAAAGCATAACCAATTCTCAAAACTTAGGATGTTGAGCCATCAGCAACCATAACTACTTCATTTGAATGATAAAGTTTATAGCCATGAATGAGTGTAATGTCTCATGTCATGTGATCTGATGGTCCTTGTTGTGGAAGGATGATGAAGAGTAAAATCTACCATGACGAAACAAGCAAGAAAGTAAAAGCAGCGAAAAAGTAAAGTACACAAGGATTTAAAATGAAAAAATAAAAAATAGGAAAAAAAACCCATGGAGTCACACCACACCAAAAAATCCATTATAAAAATTGAGAGAAATAAGTACATATCTCTCTTCTCTCTCACTCTCTTCCTGCTTCTCTTCTCACATGCACATTTTTCAATGTCTACACACTCAAAATACAAAAGAAAACAAGTAAAATAACACCAAGGGATGCAACCCTTCAGAAAAACAAGAAAGAACACCATCTAGCCCTTCTCGCATTGCTACGACGCTAGTTTGGGGAGCTATGGCGCTCAAGCATCTGTCTTTAACCGCCACAACGACATATCTATACCACTGTGGCGCTCTGCTCTTTGTCGCTTAGTATTGGGCGTTCTGTAATACAACGCGAGAGGGGGGGGCTCAGGTATGCAGTACCTGGCATTATATGCAGGGGAAAATTTTTCAGGTACAGAGCACCCGAACCCAAGTAGGGGTTACCCCCTCTGGCACTGCCCATTGTACACGACAAACTTTGATGTCTAAGATAACATAATAACCAGATTGATCAACGCAATCAGATTCCACACATGACAGTCCTGAGTCAATATCCTAAAGTTTTGATTGTTTTATAATTGAGTGAGCGTGTAGGCTGGTAGCAGGTTCTAGAGACTATTGGTTCGTGATGTTGTTAAGCAACAACTTCAGCATCTCTAAATGCTCCTTAGTGATAGCGATGGCTTTAGCTTTGATGGATTGATCTTGCATGGTGTTGACATAGCCCATTCTTGTATTGATTTATGTCTTCCAATCAACTGATTTTCCATGAATCTTCCAACATGTCTCCTTTGTATGTCCTAATTTGGCACAATGATCACACCATGGTCTTCCTCCCTTCTTTTGATGTTGATTTTTAACATGTAAGGGGTTTTGATTGTCGCGGATAGTAAGAGCATCTCCTTCTTCAACCTTTTGGAGATCCTTGTAGGCCTCCCAACATGACCTTGCTTCTACTCTCTTCCCTTCGAACTTCAGAAAAGGCCTCCCCGAGATTTGGAAGAGGTTTGGTTCCCATGATCCATCCTCTAACGCGCCATCCAAGTTATTGTCCAAACCCATCAAGAATTTGAATATTCTTTTTGTTTCAGCAATCTTTCGGTGAAGTGCATGAACTTCCAGGCATTTCCATTGATACTATTCAAACATATCTAATTGTTGTCAATAACATATTAGTATTAAAATATTGAGTTACCGTCAGGTCCTCTTGTCGGTAGTCGTGAAGAATGGTCTCAACTACGAATAGCTCAAAAGTGTTGTCGCAATTGGAGTAGGTCTCCTTAATGGCCTCCCATATTTCTTGGGTCCTCTCATAAAGAAGAAAGTTCTCACCGATTTCTACATTCATGTAGTTGATGAGCCAACACATGATCTGATGATTCCTTGCTTTCCATTTTCTATAGAGAGGATCAGTTTGCGGTGGTATAGGGGCTTCATAAGTGAGATAGTCCTCTTTCCCTCTTCTGAAAATAAACATTATCACCGATTGAGACAATTGAAAAAATTTTGCCCATTAAATATGTAGTTTATGATAATGAGAGGAGAAAGAAAAGAAGAGTTGTCTGGAGATCCAGAATTTATGGTGTTTAAACCGGTACTATTTGGATAGGAGGATGAGATCTCGCTATACATGGCAATAGTTGGGTTTCCTCGGTTGAAATATAAGATGCATTTTGGGCAATGGCTACTAGTGTTTGAAGTGAGGCTATCGGTAAGATGATAGAGAGTTACCGCCGATTAAATGTTAGAAGAAAGAGAGGAAGGTTTGTCGCCAACGTTGAAAGAAGGCTTAGGATTTTCCTAAGCTCTGATACCATGAAGAAATTATTTAGAGGAAATTGAATTCAAATTTTATTTCTTGGAATCATTACATATATATATATATATATATATACACTCTAGGAGAATAAACAGAAAAAGAAAAATATTCAATCTAATTAATTTGATTCTAACAATTATATCCCATGAATCTTGGAATCAATCCCACGGATCTTGGTGTCAGAAGAGAAAATCTCCAACTGCAACCCACAGATTGCTGACCTGTCAAAGTTGTGGACCTCCTCCTTGCCATGTGATTCAACACTTCTACTTTCATTAATCAATTTTATGCCCTTTTCCTTATTGCTTATATTTTACTAAGTAGATCTCACCTATTGAATTTGTTTCTAGCAAACTTACATAAATTGCTTTATGATTTTCAAGTTATTAGTAATGTCTTATCTAAAGGAGAATTTCTAGACTTGTGTTTTGGGTAATCATTAGAATGTGATTAAGGTTAAAATTTAAATTTTATGTAATTGATTCAATAGTGATTTTTTCATTGATGGAGTTATTATAGTAGTTAGATTGTATTTACATTTGGACAATTTTGATGTCAATGGAATAGTCATGATAAGATGGAAATTTTGATTATAAGTTAGCAGAAAATAGTAGTCATCAAACTTTTGAGTGCTTTGAGATCTATAATTGCCTAACCTATCAGTGTTATCTTATTGCATTTTCTTGCAATAAAAAACTTTGTTGGTCCAAAGCTAATCAGACAGTTTTTAAATATATGACCATAAGTTTTTCTCGAGACATCATTTCATAATTCATTTTAAAATGCTAGGAAAATTCAGGTATGCAATTGTTAATTTTAATTCACAAAATACAGTGTTGTAAAATGAACCCTGACATACTTTTTTTTTTCCTTGCATTATAGTTTTTCACAATAATCCTTAAGCAAATACTTGTTTAATAAATCTAAAAGAAAATACTTACATGAAGATGGTAAAGGTGGAATCGATGGCGCAATATTCTGAGGTTTGATGTCCCTCGCAGCTTCGCTTGGAGGTCTTGAACTAGCAAAAATGACAGATGACTTTTGCGATTTTGGAGGCAAATATGGTGGTGGTGCAGGTGCAACTTCAATGGACGGTGAAGCAGATGAATGGTGTGGACGTGGGCTTGCAGGTGCCATAACAGGAACAATTTGATGTTCTCTTTTCGGGGTCCTTGGAAATCTAAAACGACAACCAGATGGAGGTGGAGCAACTTGAGTGTATAGGGGTTTGGGGGCAGGTGCAGGTGGAGGTGTAGGTGTGACATGCACATCAGAGTGGTGTCCATGGTGACGGTTATGAGAATGATGATGGTCATGGCGATCTACACTAGGTTGGGGAGCTGGACTATGTGGCAAGGGCGAAGCAGCACCACTATTTAGAGAATGTTGAAGGAACGAGGATAGACGAATCTGCTTCACTCTGCCAAATATAGTGTGATTTAGGCCAAGATTTCCTGCAGAAGAATTCCTGATATTTTGAGCCAATTGCTTCAACCTTGGCACTGAAGGTAGATTATTGCCAACTGCAAACACAATGGATGTCTCAATAACTATAGGTGGTGCCACTGTAGAACCATTTATATTTGTCAATCTCACAAAAAGAATCTGCATTTAAAAGTAAAATAATCGTAAATGACTTGCAAATGAAAATGAACACGAACATGGATAATGAAAATTTTGATGCTTGAACATAGATCATGAATGCACTGCTTCCATGAATAGACATACTTTCGGGATATTAGATGTTGGAAAACGTAGATTGCTAGTTCTATAATGAATCATAATACGTAATACTTGCTATCTAGTGGCAAAACCAGATGTCTCGCTAATGCTAGGTACTGTATACGAACTCAAAACAAGCATACTTGATAAATGTAATATGAGAACAAAAAAAGGAATATTCTGGCACTTTGCCCAGCGAACTTAAATTTTGCAAGTTATGAATAATAAAAGCATGGGAAATAGAATACCAGTATGCAAGAGCAGATAAGACAGAGCAGACAAACCTCGTAAGATGTGAGATGTAAACCCAACTTCATCTGGTCCTTCAACTCATCAATTTTGTCTTCCACTTGATATATCGGGAAATTTAATGAAAAATTAAAAATCATATGCTCTTTCTGCAGAAGAAAAGCATTTTGTGGTGGCACTACAGTAATCCCTCCAGGAAATTTCAAAATCTGGAAAAAATATGAGCTTCCAAACAAGGATGTTGTTAAGTGAAGATCAGACTGTCTTAGAACCAAGGACACAAATGAAGACTTAAGGATGCTTAACCCAGTTGATATATTTGAATTCTTTGGATAAGGCCACATGCCAAACACTATATTGGTTGAGTTTATGCCTAAAGGCTCCATATTGATAACAGCTACCTGAAACGTTAAAAAAAATTAGGAAACAAAACAATACAAGACATGAAAATTCAGTAAGAATGTAATAGAGAGTTACAGTGGTATTTGGAACACCAATCTCAGCAAATATATCATATTGAAGCTTGGCAACATTTGCATTTAGCAGAGCAACGGGCTTCTGTAATTTGAAACTCGCCACTACATCAGCTGCATATGAACCAAGTCGTGCCATTAAAGACAATAGAAAATACTCATAGAGTAAAAGAATTTTTCCCGAGTAATCTATTAAAAGTTAAAAATAAATTTCATATTCAAATCCTTAAAGTACCAGATGCCAATAACTTAAGCAAACAGCAAATATGGCTCTCAAATTCACATCCAATGGTTAAAATAAATATACAGTAGATTTATGCTACAATAGGAAATCATCATAATCATTTAAGAAAAAGTTGAATGGGTAAAGATGAATCGTATTCAAGTTCTGAAGGGTACTTTCATGCTGTCCAACGACAAAAACAACTAAAATAATTTTATTTGTCCAGTTAAATTATCAAATGCCTTCATACATGTCTAAACTTCTACACATTAACTAACCATTTTTTCCAACATAATTACAGTTGAAGTTCTCTCAGGGGCTACGAATGCTACCTCAGCCATTGGCAACTCCCCAACTCTTACCCGATCTATGTTGTAATTCATGATGCAGTAACAGCTCCCCCTCTCCCATTCTCTCTCTTCAAAGTCCTAATCCCCTCCAAACCTGGTGGTTGGGAATAGGAATGAATAACCCTTCATGAAGACATGATTACCCCGATCCGAATGAGTTAAAATGGGTAAAAAGGTTGTGGGGAAAAAAAGGCCACAGAGGAAACAAACACAAAATAACTATATTTCCATCAAAACCCAAGGTTTGCTCAATCCTGGCATTAATCAGAACACGCTATTCACCATGATATCAGGAATATGTTTTGATTGCCATGCAAACAATGTCGGGCTTAAGATAGTGTCGGGTGTGAGCCAAAAGATGTTGTAAGAAGCATCACTCTTCTGAATGGATGCTCAAACACTGCTGAGATATAGCCTTTTCAGGAAGGGCCATCTCCCTCACCAAATAGAAAAAATATATAAACTAAGGATAAAAGTTCACGAACACGTTACAAGTTAAAATGAAATATAATATGCGGAATAGAAACTATTACAAATTCAGATCCATCCGTGAAGTAGGCTTTGACCATCCCGAACAGTAAAGTTGGCCAAATATATCATAAAATGGATATAATTGGCAATACTTTGAAACTGAACCCGAACACTCAGCACTGGGAACATGAAAATTAACAATTCCGAATCAGCTCACATGTCTGCAATCTACCCAGCTAAAAGGAAGGGCCTAAGCTCACATGAAGATTGGGAAATTTCATGCATACGCACTATTACTGTATCAAATCCTCGGAAAACTGGAAAATTTTCAGAATCAGCAAAAATGAACTGCAAAAAAAATGTTGAAGAGCGAGCGAAGTACAATTAAAAGGCAAAAGATTAAAATTAGATGACATCCAACATCAAGATCCACAAATGCACAAAATGTGACCGCCGTAACCATTCCCATCCCAAGCACCAAGGTAAGGCCAAATACGAAGAACTCCAAGACGCCAAACAGCCTCACCTCCGTACTGCTTATCAAGATCTGTCATCCCGCTGCCGAATCCGCGCCGGAAGAATGGCGGCAACCAGAATACACCCGAGAGCAATACGGCGACCCCAAAGAGCAGCGCCGACACACATCTTAAGCTAACAATCCTCCCGACCGACCTGCAGGGAGGGCATCTCCTAGCAGCATTTTCCAACGGCGGCTCCGGCGAGGCAGGAACCTCGTCGAGCGCCTGCTCCAACTCGGTTTTCCCCATTTCCGACGATCCTTTCAGTCACCATTTCCAAACACATCTGTTGCTCCCATTGTCGCAAGAATAGAACAAAAAGAAGACAATGAAGTAGATGAAGTTCAGTGTTAGGGTTAGGGTTTCGCTTTGGAGGAAAGCCGGGGAGAGAGACAGATTTGGGGATAGCTGAGGTCCGGAGGGTGAACGAAAGGGAGAGTTAAACTGCAGACCAGTGGTACTACAGCTCCCTTATTTATTTATTACTGAGGGTATATTGGGCATGGAAGATCTAATGGATGGGAAATAAAGTCCATGATTCAATCGAGATCCAAGTCAAATTTTTTTTTTTTTTTTTTTTTTTTTTTGAAAAAATAGGAGCCGAGTTGATGCGTAATTTTAGCTGAGTGTAGATCTGCTGACATTGTGGGTCCGACCCGACCCGACTAATGTTATTGCGACGAAAGGTACAGGTGCATACGGGTTTGCAGGTAGAGTGAGAGCCGATTTAGGACTGGCCCGTTTAATTGACTATACCTGTTTACTACACGGATCATTATTTATTAGATATCGTATGTGATTGCCCCTTCTCCTCACCTAAAAGTTTAAAATACTATAATATTTAGGTAATTGTCCTAACATAATTAAACGATGAACCAAATGCAAAGAGAAATAGTAAAAAGAATCCAAAATTATGCGTTGTCCATTTGGACCTCCGACATATCTGCGAAGCGCAACGATCAAGGATATGAACAAATATGTGTTGAGGGGCAGCGAGCCTGGAATAAATTTTGGTAGTAGGATACTTATATAGAAAAAAAAAACTCTACATTTTTATTAAAAATATGAAAATTAAGACTGATTTTGCCCCTGATTAGACATACTCCGGTCAAATATATAGTTGTAGATCATTATATATATGTTACTTGTGTGCTCATTGTATAACTTAATTCATAAAATATGAAAACTTATGTTGTATTGTACTATAAAAATTTAAGAACATAAATTGTATATTTGTGACATAATTGTGTATTCTTATTGATACATCATCCAAAAATTATCTTGATCGGGCACGAATCTCAAAGCAAAATCAAGTTGGAAACTTCCAAAATTAAAATCAGGAGTATCTGAACTCCGATTTCAGCAAACTTACAGTCGAACTGAGCGCCTCGGAAATACGAATCCAACGACACCAAATTCGACCCAATCCAATCCCAAATGGGTCTAAATCAAGGACCCGGAGAGCATTTGGAAGGTTCAAACCACAATTTGGATTACCAAACGACTTCCAAACATAACAAACTTATAGTCGAATCGAGCGCCTCGACAAGATGAATCCAACGAACCCAAGATCACTGAATTCCGACATCGCTACGACACTCAAATGTCCATCAAACGATTCATAATCAAGGGATTCAAGATCGACCGTCCATCCAACCACTACCAACTTACCCTTGATCCTCCACCTATTTATGGGCCATGTCATTCCCAAAATCTATAAATAGAGCCACCTCTCCTCTTGAAAAAGGACCCCCCGAAGCCTAAGGAAAAAAGAGAGAGATCGGAGATCGCTCTTGCTTCCTAGTCACCTCGACCACTGCCGGAGTTTCGGCGGACCACCACCGGACCACCACCTGACGCCATGTGCTCCACCGGACCACCGCCTGACAATGTTGCTCCTCCGGACCACCACCTGACGCCCTGTGCTCCACCGAACCACCGTCTAACGTCGTTGCTCCGCCGAACCATCACCTGACGCTCTATGCTCCACCGGACCATCGTCTGACGCTGTTGCTCTATCGGACCACCAATTGACGCCCTGTGCTCTGCCAGACCACCACCTGAGGCCCTCGCCTTCGCCGGACCACCACCTGAGGCCCTCGCTTTCGCCAGACGCCCTACGCTTCGCCAGACCTTCATCTGATGCTCTCATCTTTGCCATGCCACTGTTAAGGACTCTCACCTTTGCTAGCCCTTCACCTAAGGCATAGAGTTCAGCCAAACATTCATCTAAGGTCTGGAGTTCTGCCATACCATCATCTAAGGACCGGAGTTCTGCCTGATCATCATCTAAGGCCCGGAGTTCTGTCAGATCATCATCTAAGGCCCGAAGTCCTGTCAGACCATTACCCGATACCCGGACTTCTATTATACAATTGTTACTTGTAATCTGATCGCCCTAAGAGGCGAGTCAGCTCATTATAACCAACTCAAGTTCTAGTGAAATCTTTTCAACTGGGCTAGGCCCCGTTGTTTTTCCCATTTTAAGGGTTTTCCACGTAAAAAATCATGTGTTCTCTGTGTGTGAGCTGGATATTCGTGCAACGCTAAGATGTAGTATTTTAACTCTTTCGCCGCATATATTCTAGCCTGCAACACTTATAATGTACATACATGCTATATTCATTATTTGCACGTGATAATCATTAGCTTTTTAGCTAAATTGGTTTGGTATAAAGAAGCATGTATTTATTAAGAGATTATGTTGTTTTGGATTTATGTAATATTTTTTAAATTTTATTGTTAAGTTGTTATTGGGAATGTAAGTTAGGTTTTATTTGGGATTGTTTTTTTAATACTTTTTAAAACTATTTTTTAGTACAAAAACTTACTGAATAAGTAATTTTTTTACTAAAAAGTTATTTTATAGAGCAATAAGAAAGATGTCTAAACTGGAGTTTTAGGCACAAGCAATTTTTTAATACAGATATTTATTGAACTATAATTTTTTTTACTAAAAAACTGTTTTAAGAAAGTTGTCCCAAACAAAGCCTTAATCACTCAGGTTGTAAAAAATAACTTTATATTATAAAAAAATTTAAAATCATTTAGAAAATTATGATCAAATAAATTTTCATTTGTTGTCTAAAAAATAAAGCATCTAAAAAGATGTCCAAAACAAACCTTATGTTTCATTTGTGATGTGATATCTCACCAAAAATTCCCCTTGATCGGGCACAAATCTCAATGCAATATATGATTCTAAGCTTCAAAAATTAAATTCAGAATCATCTGAACTCTGATTTCAGCAAACTTACAATCCAAGTGAACATCTTAAGGAAATGAACCCAACAACACCAAATTAAATCCAATCCAATCCTAAAATTGTCCCAAATCAAAAGACTTAAACCTACTTCAAAGCTTCAAAGTATTAATTGGAATATCAAATAATATCCAAATATGGCATGCATATAGTCGAATCGAGCGGCTGGATGAGACGAATCCAACAAGCCCTATATCACTCAATTCTAATATCTCTAAGGCACTTAAATGCTTGATAAATATTTCATGATCAAGGGAGCTAATACCAACTATTTGATATAACAGTTTCAACATGTCTTTGATCTTCTCCATATGTATTAGTCATGTCACTCACTAAAATTTATAAATAGATCATAATTCTTCACATGATAGTGGGAAGAAAGAAGAGAAAAAGGCTATTGGGCATAAAGAATTCTGAAGCTTCACCCTAGAACCACTATCGAAAAATCCGCACCAGCAGGCCACTGTTGTTGAATCTTCCCACAACCATTGTTGTTGGACCTCCATCTATCAACCATTGATGATCCTTCTGACCATTGTCGCCTGACTACGATCCTTCTGACCACCATCGTCTGATTACGATCCTTTCGACCACCATTGCCTAACAACGGTCTTTCGGACCGTCTTCGCTCGGCTTTGATTCTTTCAACCACCAACGTCCCCCCAACTACAATCATTCTGACTACCATTGCTTAACTTCGATCATTCCGACCACAGTCGCTTGACTACGGTCTTTCTACCTTCATCACATGCCAACTACTATCCCTCCGACCACCGTCGCCCCCGATTATGATCCTTCAAACTTTTGTTACCTGCCGACTACGGTCCTTCTGACCATCATCATCCGATTATGGACATTCTAACCAAGCAAACATAAGAACATTTTATTGAGAACAACTATTGTGGCATTCTCCAACTATGTAATATGCTTTATATGATATAAATTTGCTATATTGAGCCAACACTTTTCCCTAAAGAAGGGTATCATTTACAATCAACTGCAAGCACTAGTGGATTCATCCAAACTAAGCAATGCCCCATGATTTTTTCCACTTTTTTAGGGTTTTCACGTAAAAGTTTTGGAATATCTTATGAATATTGTTGCACCAATTTATCTTATTTGTTTATGTGTTGGATATTCGTACAAAATTAGAATGATAAATTCTATATTTTTTTACCACCGCGAATATTCCAAGATGCAACATGACGATTTATATAATTTTATAAAATATTATTTAATTAATAATACCTTATAATCTTATTTTTCAAAAACATTTTGTTTAAAATAAATTTTAGAATGAAGAATAAAGGATTTTTTTTTTTTTATCAAAATAGATGTCTTTTTTTTTTTGGCTTAAAAAACACGCTTATAAAATTTAGAGCATGATCAGCTGATTTATAGTTCTTTACACGATTGAGTGATTATTATGTAATTTAAACTTGGAATTGTACATCTCCATAACATGATCTAATTGTTATTGCAAACAACATATTAAAAAATAAAATATTGATTCCATCTCCTATAAAATAAAAGGATCGTAAATTGACATATCTAAATATAAACTAGTATAATTGTGCATGAACTAAGTGCACATAAAATAAAAGTTAAAAAATAAAAATAAGCATTATAAAATGGTTATTAATGAATAATATTAATAAAAGTATTTGAAATAATAATCATATTAATCGAAAATAAAAATTCTTTTTGAGCATTATTATATAAATATATTATATGATGACCATGTAGCATTTATATGTTTTTAAATTTCCTCCAAATTTTTTTAGAAGGCCAAACTTCATCAGAATCTTTTTTAGATTTTGTCTTGAGCCTTTAATGAGATTGTCATCTACTAATTATCAAAAGAGTTTGTGATGATTTTATTATAATATTCTATCTTTTAATGCTTGAAAAAAAAAATCAATGGAGAAAATTATGTATAAATAAATTTTGATTTTGATAAAATTATTTAGTTATCTTGATTTTCTCTAACTCTATAACTGGCATGCATGCTAATAATTTGTTCAACTTTATTATTGAAAAACATAAATATTACAATTTAAGTATTATTTTTAAAATACAAATTGATAAGATTATTATATAATTCATGATCAAATATATTAATGAGAATTCTATTATTTAATTAAAATTGGATAGTATAATATGAATATTTTACCTCAAATTATATTTGGCTTTTTCTTT